AAACCAGTTTGAATTCGTGCGAACAGTCGCAGGGACCAAATTTTGGTCCCAGCGACCACAGAAATGTGTAGTTCACACGAAGGGACTAGTCGCATGAAACTGGTCGCTGGGACTAGTCGCAGGGACTAGTCCCCTCGTGTGTGCCGACCTTAATGAAAAAATGATAACCAGGGTACAGTGTTTGATTCAATACCAAAGTCTCAGACCAATATCATTAAAAATGAAAGGCAGAATCGCAAATGAGATCTTTGGATGGAAATGGTTACAAAAACTGTAGTTACTGTAGCAGTTTTAATGCAGTGCACTCAGTTTTGATATTTACTGAATATACAAGATTTTCTAATTTGTGGTTGATTGACAAATGCATGCAAATGCACTTACATCTATCACCTTTTTAAAAAACACAGGTGTCTGGGAGTTTGATGCTGATGGTCCACAAATCTGCGATAAAGATAAGAAGGGAACACTTTGTACTCCTCCTCAAGAGTGTAGGGATTTCTGGGAAGGACCAAATGATGGAATCACTTCTTTTGACAATATATTTGCTGGATGTCTAACAGTGTTTCAAGTAATTACCAATGAGGGTTGGACGGACATAATGTATTGGGTATGTTGGTTTTTTTAATTGGTTTTTTTTATAATTTTATTCTATCAAATCTCATCATACAACCTGAATATGTTAATTTAAGGCTTCAAGTGTTGGTCCTCTTAAGTCTGAAAGGCAGAATTTAGAAGAAATAAAATACACGGTAAAATGGTATTTGTCGCAATCTTACCTTCAAAAAACCGTTAGGACTATATCTTCATATATCAATCTTACCTTCTCTCTGACAAAGGGCCAACACTTGAAACCTCAGCTTGAGTAACTCTTTACAGTTGCCAATTTACATTAGAAACTCAAGTAATAAAACAAAATTATCTTCCATAAAGCTGGCCAAGTGGTTTGTCTTTGAAATGAGCACTTTGGTTGAAAATTGTTTTGGGAGGTTCTCACCGCATCTCAGGGCTCAACCCCTTTACACATTAAGAGTGATTGATATCTTATTTCTCCCAGACAGACAGACAGACAGACATCTATATTTATACAGGATAGCCCCTTCAGTGTAGTAAACACTGGTATCAACGGGGGTCCTGTTACCCACCCAACCCACCCCAGGGGAGGACATCCATCACACAGTAATCTCGTGCGTGGGAAATTAACGTCTCCTGCCCCTAACCCTGCAGGAGACGGGACCTCCATTTATTCGTCCCTATCCGAGAAGACTAGAATATCTAACCATTTCTTGATGTTAAAGAAAGGAAGCATATTCTTCTCAGTTAATTTTAAGACCCTGAGTGTTGGTCCGGCCGGTATTGAACTCTCGACCTCCCGCACAGCAGTCCGGCGCTCTCCCAATTGAGCTAACCAGGCGGCAGTATCAATTCTTGAATCTGTTTACCTTTGAGTCAACTATTATGGTTTTGTGAATGAAAGAATTGATCATAAACTCAAGAAGCTCTACTTGCTTACTAGACAAATTCTCTTTGTAAGTACCATGCTAGGAAATGTCTTGAGAACAATAGGGATAACTTGTATACTCGTGTTTGGGTATACAGGGTTAATATTCTGACAAATTGTGTGTAGTTGGAACCAAAAGCAACTCAAATCCAAGCACAAGGATAAAACTGGTTATTCAAACTTGTTAGAAACTAGTGGGTTTTGTTGGAAATGACAGAGTGTAAAATTTCCTAAATATTAAAGTTACTGTAGAAAATTTAATTATTGAAGTTAGAGAGAAAAAAAATGATGCATAATCTTATTCTTACCCAATGACTGAGACTGATTTGCTCCTTTTGTTTTGTTGTTGTTGTTGTTTTTTTTTTTCACAGACATTTGATGCCTATGATAGACATGGTTATGGATTTTGGATATATTATTATTCTCTCGTGATAATAGGATCTTTTTTTATGCTCAACTTGGTTCTTGGTGTTCTTAGCGGGTAAGTGTCTCTTACTTTTAGTTTTATTGCTGGCAAGGATAAGCTTGTTTTGGACAGTATTTCCACATTCCATCTGTCTATCCTGGAGTTTTCAAAGTTAATGAATTCTGAAATTTGCAAGATGCTTAGGTCCCTGTTTGAAAATTCAATAGTGAAACGAAGAACTCCTAATTATTACTAATCAAAAACTTTACTTATTTCAGGGTATTTCTCATGTCAAGAAAATGTTGCTTGAGTTTTTCTGAATGTTTATTGCAATATTCTCAAACAACAGTTATAATACACAGACTTTCATCACTTGCAAAGCTAACTCTAAGGAGGTTATTAAAATAAATTCCAGTCATGAAATTCTTACAAATTTTAAAACTCATAACAAAGACTGAGAATATTTTTTTGAGGTCAGATAATAAGTTTGTTAGACAAAATTTTGCTGTCAATTTTACCAGGTACAGGCACCATACACCCTACCCTCAAATGGTTTTATAATTATATTATGTCAACATAACAAAGGAGAGAGGAAGGTTAAAACCAAATCACTGCTACCAAGGATGGGGCACTGCTGTGTGCTTCTGTTTGCTTTGCTTTACTTGTATTGTTTCTCCTCTTCCCCATCCCCATCCCCTTCTCCCCCCTCCCACCTCTCCCTCCTTCTCCCTCCCTTTCTCCCTCCCC